ATGGAAAGCCTTGAAGGTTTATGGGGCTTATAGTGCTTATAGGGTTTCTAGGGTTTCATAGGGCTTATAGTGCTTATAGGGTTTCTAGGGGTTTAGGGTTTAGGGTTTATAGGGCTTATAGGGTTTAAGGTTTATAGGGTTTATAGGGTTTAGGGTTTAGGGCTTATAGGGTTAAGGGTTGAGGGCTTATAGGGTTTATAGGGTTTAGGGTTTAGGGTTTATAGGGTTTATAGGGTTTATAGGGTTTAGGGTTTATAGGGCCTATAGGGTTTAGGGTTTATAGGGTTTAGGGTTCAGGGTTTATAGGGTTTATAGGGTTTTGGGTTTGGGGTTTTTGGGATTTAGGGTTTAGGGTTTATAGGTTTTATAGGGTTTACAGGATTTAGGGCCTATAGGGTTTATAGGGCCTATAGGGTTTAGGGGGTCAAAAGAAGGACACCCGAAACCCTGAACGCGTACCTCAAAAAGTCTAGTGTAGGGGCCCTAACAATTAGAATAAGGTTTTGGGGTATATTCTACTATAGTTGTAATACAGAACCCCCCCCCAAAAAATAGTATAGGTAATTAGTAAGGCCTGTATGCTACCTGTTATAGAGTTCCTTATCATAGTTTCAAGTTTCTAGGTTAGAAGCTTCTGTTCTTAAAAGGATCAAGACCTAAACCTAACTTAAACCCTAAACCCTAAATCCTCAAAAAGCTAGGATCAAGACCCAAACCTTACCTGCGGGATCCCAAAACCGACTGTCTTAGGGGCCTTTTACCATTTGCAACGGGGCCACAACCTACTATATTTTGTAAACACAGCAAACTTTAGGGTTTAGGGTTTAGGGTTTTGGGTTTAGGGTGGAAGAAAGCATAAACAACGTACTAGTAAGGTGCCACATGTCCCACGCGTTGCACTGCACGCAACGGCCGCAGAGGCAGTCGGAGTCCACGTCGACATCGAAGGCCTTCAGTCCAGGCTTCTTAAATTCGGTTAAGGCTTAATCTATAATCTCCATCGTAGTTCCTTTGTTTGGGTTGCCGTTTAGGATCCTCATGATAGAAACAGATAAACCCAAAAGAAGGAACTACAATGGCGACTATAGGAGGGTTCAGGAGACTTCCCGGGGTTTTTCAGAGAAGATCCCTAGCAGCGGGCAGGCTTCAATACGGTTGATAATATAAATCCTGCATTACCCAAAATAAGGAATCCACCATAATTCCCATAGTTTAGGGTCCTTAAGGTAACGCTGGGTTTGTTATCATCAACAGTAGTTTATGTTTAGGAGCTTGTTGTTTTCGTTTCGGGATGTTTCGGGGCTTTTTGGGGCACCCAACAGTACCCTAACAGAAGGGTTGGTTTGAAGAGCTGGTACGTAATAACATCCCCGCATGGTCCATGTATAGTTGCCTTGCCATACATCCTCAAACTCTATTCTAATGAGCTAGGCCCTATGTTCATGAAGCCCTGAATCAATGAGGCTGAGGTGCGAAGGGACCAAGGAGAAACAAGTATAGACTCTTATTTCATCATGGCTCCTTTAAGGCACGGGTCCCAAATAATAACTTCCTTAAGCCCTAAACCCTAAACCCCCCCAAACGAAAATAAGCAATAACATGAGGTACTCCAGAACCGATGAGAAGTCTTCAGTAGTGGGGCGGCTTTTCAGTCCTAACCTTTGCCTGTCACGAGTCAGGATGTTTAGGGCCAACAAGCACATAAGCAATCATTTGGTAAACCCCCTTATAATGAAGCCCAATAGGGTAGGGATCTCCCTGTGAAATGCTCATGCTCATGTCGTTTTTGGGTCCCTAGATGCTGGGAATGCTGCTGAATGTGCAGGGGTGGCGTGGGGATCTCATCCTCCAGCTTGCTCTGAAGACAGTAGTTTAGTTTCAGCAACTACCATCAAGTCAATGTATACCTAAACCCTGAAACCCTAAACCCAAAACCTAAAACCCTAAACCCTAAACCCTAAAGCGTATAGCATCGACCAGAAAATGACATTTCATGGAGATTAGAAACTCGTAGCAGTGTATAGCATTAACTGGCATACATTCCCAGGGACTGCAAAAGAGGCTCTCAATTGGAAGCCCCCCCCCACCCCACCCCAAACCCTGAACCCTAAACCCTAAACCCTGAACCCAAAATTCAAAACCCAAAACCCCAAACCCCAAACCCGAAACCCTAAACCCTAAAACCCTAAACCCTAAACCCAAAACCCAAAACCCTAAACCCAAAACCCTATCAGCCACGAGGCCTCGATCACTTCCCGCAGCTGCTCGTCTGGCCTTACTTGGCCAGTTGCCTAGGGGAACTGAAGCTTAACCCGTGGAGTTTTAGGGTTTAGGGTTAAGCTTTTAGTGTTTAGGGTTTAGGGTTTAGGATTTTATGAGGACCTTAGTAGACCCCAAATAAGGTTGAACTATACCAAACAAGTTGAAATCCCACAAAAAAGGTCAGAGGTTACTTGCTCTACTGCAAAGTGACGCAGAGCTCTGCAGCACGTAGGTTCTGTGTGCGACACGTGCCGGCAGGAGTTTCTTGGCCTGGTAGTAGAGGATGATCCGGTCATCTGCCTCCAAGCCCCAACAAACTACGTAGTGCGGGGGCCTGAATAATTAGAATAAGGTTTGGGGGTATACTATAATTATAATAAAGAACCCCCAGAATAGTACAGGCAAATGCCCTATATTAAAGATTAGGATCTCAGGCTTCAGGATTTCTGGAATCCGCGTCTAAGGGGCTTGTCGACGGGCAAGGATACCGCAAACCCTCAACTAACTCTTATAGCCCAGAGACGGGACCGAAACTTTTTCGGGCTCCATGCCTCCGCAGACTCAACGAGATCACCTTGAGGTGCGCCTTCCTTCAGAATCTCCGTGTCAAGTCCCAGGCCACGCATCTTCCGCATGAGGCGCGTGAGAGCTGCAGGCAAAATGAAGCACAAGTCGCTGTTTTTCCTTAGGTTCAAGGCTTAGGATTTAGGGTTTAGGGCTTAGAAGCCCTAAGCCCCTACACCCTAAACCCCTGAATAGGCTGGGAATTCGTATAGCGGATCTATATAACCCTATATAAGGGTCCATTTACCTATATCGCATATACTTAGCCCTTGCAGAGGTTCCTCTATGGGTACTTTGTGTTTCTATGGGGTTTCTAACGTAGGGGCCTAAAACATTACCGATACTATTTTGGGGGGGGATCGTTATTCTTGTTATAGTATAACGGGCCCCAAACCCTAATCAAATCATTAAGAGCCCTATATTAGAAGGGCTTTCGACTTCCTTGCCCAAAGAATCGTACCCAGAGGGTCAGAGTACCCAAATACGATGGCAATATAAATCCTACATTACCCAGAAAGGAATATACCATAGTTCCCATAGATTCCGGTCCTTAAGCTAATGCAGGCTTTATATCATCAACGGTTGCAAGGTTTTCCCTAAACCCTAAACCCTAAACGGAGGTCCCAAAGATCCATACTTACTCTGAATGGTGTTCGGACGATTTGGGCACTTGGACCCGTAGGGTTAACTTCAACGTCCAGCACGCTGCCAAGCTAGCTCGAAAATACGGGTTCAATGCACAACTACTTCTAAGTTACTTCGGCAGCAGCTTTCGTTTAGACGAGACCTAAACCTGAACTCTGAACTGCAAACAAGTAAACCCTGAACCCCTGATCCCTTGAACTCTTGAACCCCTTAACCCCTCCAACCCCAACACACATAATCAAACCGTAACATCGATTTCAACCCACCGCTTTGGAAACCCACAGCCCCATAACTAGACCCTGTTTGTCTCTGGAATATACTATACTCAAATTGCCACCCTTGTAACACTTGTAAGTTTAGCCGCTTCTTCTAGGGACTACAGTAACCAAAACCCCCTAAACCCTAAACCCTAAAACATGCTTCCTAGTGTTGGTGACCAAGAAATCCTGCATTACCTTAAGGACCCTAAACTATGGGAGTTACGGTATGTTCCTGCTGTTTATGGGTAATACAGGATTAAAATCATCAACCCTAGTACCCTAACGCATGGGCCTTAATAATTAGAATAGGGTTTTGGGGTATAATTATACTGTAAAGATACTAAGGAACCCCCCAAATAGTACCGGTCGTTATTTAGGCCCCAATATTAAGCCTAAAACCGCTACCCTAAACCCTATACCCTAAACCCTAAACCCCAAACCCTAAATCCTAAGCCCTCAACCCTAAACCCTCAACCCTCAACCTTATAAACCCTAAACCCTAAACCCTCCTATATTAAGTATAGACGGAAGCATCTCTCGAGCTCCGCCCTCCAAGAGCCGCGTGCGAAGGCGGCTCGGCTGGGCGCGATATTGTAGCCATCTCTCCTGTTTAGGGGTTTCGGGTTTAGGGTTTAGGGTTTAGGGTTAAGGGTATAGGGTTTAGGGTTTGGGGTTTAGGGTTTAGGGTTTAGGGTTTAAGGTTTAGGGTTTAGGGTTTAGGGTTTGGGGTTTAGGGTTTAGGGTTTAGGGTTGAGGTTCGTCCAATAGGGTTTAGGAAATAAGAGTTTTCAGGGTGTTTCGAGAAGGGGGTTCGGAATTGAGAGCTTTGAGGTAGTCCACTATTAAGCTTTTGGGCCCTGGCTTCGTGCTTTACAGGACTTGGGGCGTTAATGTTCAATATCTGCTCAAAGACTTTCGTTCATTCCCATTGCTCTACAGATGTTATAGGGCTTACTATGCTGTTCTGGCTGGATTGGGTGTCTGTCGTATCACTAACTGTATCCTCAAACTCTACAAAATAGTAGGTTATGACCCCTTAATTCCCTGAAACAGTAGGCTTTTGGAGACCCAGGTAGACCTTAAATCCTAAACCCTAAACGAGCACCAGTGTGATAGGCCTCAACCTCATGGCTGAGCCCTACATGCTCAAAACAGACTGATCTGAAAACCGTAAACCCAAAACCCCAAACGCCTTAAACCCTGCACCGTAGCTCCACTCCCCTGGGAATCTCAGAAAAAGTAGTTCTTGGAAATCATGATAAACCAACCGCAAAATCAAAAACACACACACATGTACTAGTCTTGAACCGCTTGAGCCCAAACCCACTAGCAGCTCCTTCACAGCGTCCATGGTCGCTTCGGCAGGCTGCTTGGCAGGCTGAGGCTTCACCTGCTATAGTTATAGGATCCTTAAGGGAGGGTGGCTCAAGGGGGGAGGGTCCTAGGGAGCTTTAGGGAACCTAAGGGAGTACTAGGGAGAATTGGGGATTACTGGGTTATATAACCCCCCTTTACAACCCCCTCCTTTAAGGATTCCATAATATAGGCTTGAAGGCCTATAGAGCGCGAAAGGTTTAGAGTTTAGTAATTTAGGGGTTTAGGGTTTGGTTCTTTAGAGACCAACTGGCTTGAGTCAAACAAAAAATGCACCCTTTGCCCTCGAGTATGGAAGGGTTTTCTGGATTCTTTCCCCGATAAGACAACACAACTTTCAAGAAGACCTTAAGACAAAACCCAAGACCCGTATTTGGGAAACGGGCAAACAAGCCTTTGAAGAAACCCGTGAAGGGGAAGACGAAGGCCCGCCTGCCAAGAGGGCGCCAAAGGAACCTCACACCGATGCAAGAGCAGCAACACCGAGGCATCGAGAGCAGCGTAGGCCTCACTGGGCTTACGGCTCATGGAGTTTATAAGGCTAGCGTTTTAAGCTAAACCCTAAACCCTGGAGTTTAGGGTCTAATGAGGGGTTAAGGTTTAGGGCCTTGGCGGTTGGATTTCTAGTTTGCAACTTGGACTTCAGGGTTTGCGCTTGACGGCCTTGGGCTTAGGAGTGTAGGGTTTGGGTCTCAGCAGTTGGGTTTCGGGTTTGGTTTAGGATTCTGGGCTCTATGGTTTTAGGTACAAGTTTAGCATGCCATAGCTTCAGGGTCCCTATTAGGACTTGAAGGTTCATGGAGATCTTAGGGTTTGGGGTCTTGGGTTCCGAGTGCAGGGTTCAGGGTGTATGTAAGGGCCTTAAGAATTAGGATAAGGTTTTGGGGTGTATATATTATTTATAGTATAATTATAACAAGGAACCCGCAAAATAATATAGGTAATTATCGAGGCCCTATATTACGCGTTGAAGGCTCGCAAGAGTTTGCTTTGGGGTTTAGAGTTCACAGTCTTGGGTCTTGAGGGCTTGTTGTGGCTTAGACTTCAGGTGCGGCTTTGGGATTGCACGGTTTAGAGTTTAGAGCCGTTTGGGACTCGGCCGTGGAAGATTAGGGATTTAGGGTCTTGTATCAGCAGCTCGGTCTCTGTTCAGAAGGTGTAACAGCTAACGGTACCGTACATAGGCTTCCCGAGAGTGTTGCAGACTTGCTGTAAGGCATGCTGGAGCTTTGAACGGTGCATGTGGGCCTTTGCAAGCCTTGCCAATCTTGGAAACTTTAGCCTTTCATACAAAACTGGATAGCGTTGGACTATCAAAATTCAAGGTTTTCGAGACGGCAAGCGGAACAAATCGGACACCGTCGCACGTCAGAGTGGCATTGAAAACTTAGCCGTAGCCTGGATTCCAAACCACAGCTCAGACACTACTAACTGCTGGCTATGCAGACCCCATATCATAGCCGCCCTTTTCAAAGAAGTTCAATAAAATGAGGCCAAGGCAACCCTCTCGAATCTCGAGAAGTCCAAAACAGTGCAAAAGTGTAAAGCCAAGCAACAAACAATAAGCCCTAGACCCTACACCCGAAACCCTCAAGCATGAACAAACGTAATCCCCGAACCCACGTCAAGAAACGAAAAAACAAAAACGACTCAAAACCCCAAGTTCAAAACCTGTAGATCCTAAACCCCAAACCCCCTGCAAGCCTTCTGCTCGGGGCTGAGGGGGCGCACATCCCAATCAGAGGTCTGCAAGCTTTTGTCCTCAAGGTAAAATGGTCTCAGGGTTCAGGAGGTACCAGGGTGAAGCGGCCCCTGAACCCTATAAACCCTAAACCCTATAAACCCTATAAACCCTAAACGCTGTTAGCCCTATACCCTATAAACCCTATACCCTAAGCCCTAAACATCCGGCGAAAGATATACAGTCCCCCAGACTTCGATCCCTGCATAAACTTGTAACTATTCCGTGGAAAGACACGACAATCCCAAGCCCACAGCCGGAAATACGCTAAGCCCGAGATCCAAAACTTTAAGCCCCTGGCGTTGTTATGCTGCTACAGCAGTTTTGTTCATCTCATATTCCCAAATCACACTTGACTCAGCTTCCGACCGCAAATATAGTTATTGTGGTTGGATTCCACTGGCATGAAAAGACGCATTTGTCGCGACTGCCGCCGAATGTCAGGGTCAAGTCTAGTGTATGTACGGACTGAAAGAGACACCGACCGGAACACGTTGACGAAATCGAAGGTGACCACGTCACCGACCGGGACAACGATCGGACACCGACCGGAACACCAACCCAAACACGGACTACACACGACCGGGACACTGAGCAAACAGGACTGAATGCATTCCAAAATCGGTGTAAAGGTCACGGATCGAGAAGCCGAATAGCGTAGTGTCGGGGCCTTAGTAATTAGAATAGGGTTTTGGAATCCTGCATAGTATATTTAAAAAAACGGGACCTAAGGAATAATGTTGGTAGTTATTTAGGCTTCTATAGCAATCCTCCCAGACTGAAACCACATGTCTTTGGAAATCTATGCTGTTTTTGCGGCTGCTGCAGCCTATGGTAACATGTGCACGGCACTGTGGCGGCAACGCGATTTGTTGGCGGGATGTTGGGAACAACCTAGCACTAAACTAAACTCATAAACCCTACTCCCAGCTTCCCCCCGTCAGGGGACCTAAAATACAAAAAAAACTCCAAAAGCTAGGCCCTAAACTCTAAGTGCCCATTCTGGTTTGGATCCGCATGATGGCTTGGCGAATTTACTCGACCTCGGGTTCGCAGATGATATCCTATTGATTGCAAAATCAGCACACAAGGCCGCAAGCTACAAAGCTTGATGCGGGATCTTCGGCAAGTCGGGCCTGGAGGGCCAGGCACTTCTCAACCCTAAGCCGGGTTTAGGGTTTAGGGTTTAGGGTTTAGGTTGCCCGTTCGGCTAAACCCAATGCCTGGTTTCCCCATGCCGGGGGCCTAAGCAAGATACACTAAACTCTAAACCAAGCTCTGAATCGAAACCACACCCACAGTGCAAACCAAAGGGGAGGGGAAGGGGTGGCCCTGCACTGGCTGCAGTTCCTGCAGTCCTGATAAACCTTTGGGAAGTCCAATGTTTGGGCCGTCTGCGCAAAGGAATTCTCAAACTCCCAGGTTCTACTACGCCGACCAACCAAGCACATCGACCGGGGGACCGACTCAAATATCGATCCAAACACCGACCAGGACACCGACCCAAACACCGACAGGGAGGGCGACCGGCACAACGAGCTTCACAAGCGGGACACGGACCAAGACCACCGAGCTTCACAAGGAAATGTCAGCGATGCACAGACCGGATATGACAAAGATACCGACCACGACACGACCGGGACATGTCACATGACCGGGGCGTAACCGGGACGCATGACCGGGATACCAACCAAACATCGCCTACGCGAAGGACAGGCCCACCGAGCTTCACAACAGCGGGACACGACCACGAAACACGACCAAGACACCGAACGAGACAAGAACGGAAAACTGACCGAAAGTCAGCGATGCATCGACCACCACATGACCGGGACACGACCGAGACACTCGACACGGACACGCGATCGGGACACACGACTGGGACACACGACCGGGACACATGACTGAGCGAGTGACAGGCACACCCAGCTTCACAACAGCGGGACACGACTGCGAAACACCACGGGGACGCCGAACGAAACAAGAACGGCTCACTGACCGAATGCCAGCGATGCACCGACCGGGATACGACCCGGACCACATGACCGGATACGACCAAGACACCAACCACGATACGACCAGGACATGTCACACGACCGGGACGCACGACCGGGAAACGATCAGGACACCGACCACCACGCGACCGGGACATTTCATAAGACCGGTACACGACCAGAAGATCACGACAAGACACGCGACCGGAACGGACACCGACCCAAATTGACAGAACACCGGGGCACCGGCTGCCTAGACGTTTGGGCGCTTTCCCTAAAATCGAGGACCAGGGTAGTGATGGATCCCAAACCTGGTGGCTATTGGGGAACAACGACAGCATCGCAGCCAGCGAATCTGGCTTCTCATGATTCCGGCGACGATTTATTACGCTACGACACCCCAAAGACCTCCCAAAGGAACTGCCACATGTGCTACAATGTATCATAATATATTGCAACATACTATAATGTACCATAACGTACTAGAATGTATCATCATATACGAAAATTTACTATCATCTACGACTATTATCATAATGTACTACCAGGGTCCATCCAACGGCCCAAAGTGCCCGCCACCACGGCTTGCAGCCCCGGAGGGGCGCTTCCAGGACCGAAACCTTGCGAGGCAGTTGGATTCGTAGCTCGAACTCACCTCCAGAACCCAGAGACTCCAACATCCCTTCATTAAGGAATATACCTTAAGTCTTTTTAGGGTTCCTCCTATAATTTCAGGTATATTCCTTAATTAAGGGATATTGGAGTCTCTGAAAATCTTCGGTTTAAGGTTTTGACAGGAAGATACCCTCAGACATAAGGGCTCCATCATGGATCTATGAGGGTTCTATAGTAGGGCCACTAGGGTTTGATGCGGGATGCTGAGGTTTAGCGCAGGGTTTAAGACTGGAGGTGTAGGTTTTGGGGTTGGGGCAGCTCAGCTGGAGATGGGGTCTTTGTGCCTGTCAGAGCAGACCTCCTTCCACTCCGAACTTGACTTGGAACAGCGTCTCATGGTGAAGGCGCCCTGGCCATTTCATGACCTATCGTCGGAGTGGACAACAGTCCACGTTCTTCTATTAATTCAGCCATGAATACATCAATCTCAACAGCACCCTGCTCGGTCTCTGGCGGTTGAACAAGGCGGAAATAGGAGACCAGCTTTGGCGCCAAAAACCAGAAAACGCATTGACAAAGGCACAGACAGAAGCCCGCAATCATCGTCGTCGTGGCGAGATAGCGGACTTGCCAGCCGCCGTGCAACTCAAGCAAAATCACGATGCCCACACACATCATGACGCTTAAACCGCTCAGGATCAAAAGCCTGCGGTCCATATAAACCATGGTAAGAATCATTGCTTGGACCATCGCGACTCCATCCCACAACAAACTCAACAGTGGAAGTGTTGAGGTCTTCGCCGAAGTGATCAGCATCAGCGTGGCTATCATTGCAGCCGCCTGTATGGAAAAGGTCACTAACGAGAGACACAGCCCCTGGTTCCCCCAAACCAAAAAAATCCTACACGCGTGCACGTAGGCAAAGAAGGCCTGTGCTCCAACACAAATACACCCGAAAGAGTTCGCAACGACGACACAGAAGTGGAGCAGACAGGAATAACTTGCGAGGAACAAGCACTCCAATATCAACAGCAGTGGAGCTGCCAACAGCGACCCCGTCGTCCACGGCAGCAGACTGAAGTCTGTCCGAAAGAGGACTACCAAGAGAATCACGATGTACAGCTGACAATTGTTGAAGAGAAGGTCATAGTGGCTTCCATTTAATGGCACCTTGTCTGCTCGCTCGTGGAGTTCCCGGGGGGTGACGCAATTGATCAAAATCGGGTCCTGCAGACCTGCCATAACATCGTATACTTCGTCGCCTCCACAAACCCGCACAGCGAATTGGCGCAGTCAGAGGCCTTGACGCTCTGGTGCAACCCCCGCCGGGCTACGAGCAGATCATGGACGTCTTGCCAGAGATCCGACTGACAACCGGAATCGCTCTGCGTGGTGCCGAGCTTGATGCGCTGCATCTGGAACCCGTTCTGACCCCAACGCTGTCCGGTACTTTCGTCACGAGCCTTCAGCTCCACACAATACATGTCCCCAGAAGCAAAGATCTATATATACTGGCCCAATGGGACACCAAGCCGTTGCCAACAACCAGAACATGTGCCCAACTATCCTTTGCGGCGGCGTACTGAGGCATCTCAAAAGGCTCTAAGATGTTCTTCAAATGCTCGGAACTGTCGGGGGCTTCGACTGACCTCCCCGTGAGTCCCATGAACACTCCCGACCAAAGCGCCATGGCTCGTGCAACAGCTCTAAAAATACGTCCTACTGGAGCATTGACTTTAGTGCGTGTCAAACAGTACAAGGATGCTTGCACTGAAGTTGTGAGTTCGCGGTAGACGGTGGGCTTCTGGGACTTGCTCCACTTGAGCCAACGAGCATCAGGCATCTCTTCACATGAGCTCCGAGCAACATACAATGCTCAACGTCACGCACTACGCAAACCGCTGCCAACTCGAATAATAAAGCAAGGGGATAAGAACTGAAATAGGGCTTTCCGGGATTCGGGAACAATATAGGATAAACATAGCAAGCAACTCTAAGGAACATTACTGTTAATGAAGTATTCAGGCCCCTGTATCATCTTTCAATCGCAGATCCTCGGACGACAATGCAGCACAACAGTCTCCCCAAAGAGCCCAATACCCCTTAAATTAAGAATATAGCTTAATATGAAGCCCCTTAGAATTTAAGCTTTATTATATTCCTTAAAAAAGCTGTATTGGGCTCTCTGGGTCCCGTTCAAGTTTAAGCCGCAGATCTCAGCCAAGCCACGGTCCTGCAGGTCGATCCACCCAGGATCCTTTGCATTGCAGGGTTCTGGGTAATGTAGGGGCCTTAATAATTAGACTAGGGTATTGGGATGTATTCTTTGTTTTTTTGTGATAAGGAACCCCCAAAGTAGTATAGGTAATTATATTTAAGGCCCCTATATTAAGTTCCGAAATCTGGGTCCCTGTGGGCTCTCTGCAGCAACAAGTGTCCTCCTACCAGAAGCTCAAGACGAGGAGGGAGGGAGGAAGGGAGGAAGGGAGGGAGAGGAGGAGTGGCTGCTTTATAGAATGCCCCGTGAAGTATAGTTTCGTTTTTCAAAAAGACGGGATCAATAACCCTAAGAGTCCATGTACTCAAATCGCGTATGTTTCAGCTCGAACCATCATACAGAACCCGATAGAAAACAGGTCCTAAGGCCCTAAACTCCGAATCTTGGACCCAAAACACTGGTCCTCCGGTGGGAGGAGGCCGACCCGCTGCAGTCTGCGGATGTCCTCGTGGCGGCTGAAAGCCAGAACCGGATGCTTTCCGGGGAAGAGCAGCCGCCGACACCACCTGAGACGGTTCTTGTAGGGTTCCTTATGAAGGGTTGTAGGCTATAGGACTGTACCGGAATCTTGTTCGTAAGGCTCTTCTGAGAGGTCGGGTTGAGGATGTAGGTCGTCCATCTACAGAGTTTTCTCATACTCTTTTTGACTTCCATGGGCATGACCTGCAACCCTGAACCCAAGCTGAATACCAATGTGACACTGTGCTAATACTCTTCTCCATTGATACCAAGATTCCTCTTACGATTCGCAAGATGACTTTTCAGTTGCCTTCAGGAGTTCATTTCTACATTGTACTATATGGGTAGTTCTCTAAACAGGGTCCCTTGCATGGTCGTTGTTATAAGGGTGCCGAACCATTAAGGGGATCTACAACGTGACACTAATTTAGAGAACTGCCGATATAGATCCCCTTTGTGATGTCACGTAGCTTTCCGGGTCTTCTCGATATCGCCCATTTCGAGGTTGACACCTGTATCACGATTGCAGGGCTATAGAGTTCAGGGTCTGCTTCGGGGCCTTGCGACCTTGTTTTGGGCGAGCTCTGTATTGGAAGCTGTCGCCCGCCCGCCCGAAAAGCAGTTCGTTCAAAGTTCAAATTATTGAAGATGTATCCAGATCCCCTTTATTCGGGGCCCTTATCCCAAAAACCACGTACCTTGCCACCTTAATGCAGCAAAAACCAAAGTCCTGAAGCCAAACTTGGCCCTAAAGTTAAACCCACAATCCTAAACACCCAAACCCTGAACCCTAAACCAAAACTTGGCCCAGCAGCATTAGAGTCGTCTCTGAAGGCTCTTTGACCATATCCACCAAGAACACAGTCGGAGGCGTCTCAGGGTCCTGGGCTTTGAAGTAACTAGGGAGAACAGTTTAGGGCTTTGGGTTCAGAATGGTTCCTTTTAAGGAACAGGTCCCCCAAAAAAGATTGAAGTACGGTACTCCAAAGCCCGGGATCCGTTTCGACGGCCAGCTGCAGGAGTGAAACTGGCCGTGTATCGTGCCACTCAGCGTCCACAGCCACTATCCTCCAAGGATCTCAAGGGGACCTTTCCTTGACCTAAACCACCTCAGCCCTAAACTCATGCTAGAGATCCTGCTTGAATGTCTCAGATACACCACTTATGTTCAATACAAGCCCAACCCTAAACCCTACCCTCCTCCCGTCTTTCGCTCCCAAAAAGCCCTCGAAACACCTCTCAGGAGAACGGAACCCGGAACCCGTACACACCAAGCTTCGAGATAGAATCCCTGATCCTAAGATGCACGCTGAAGCCCCGCGCGCTTTAATCACGAGACTGCCCAGGCCGGATACCGGGCCCTGATACCTGAAGCACGAACCCTGAATCTTATTCCCTGACCCCAACGGCAGCCAAAAAAAAAGTCTAGGGGAGAATCTCTGGAGTTAGGACACTGTAGTAGACAACAAGGCAGCCAAGAACAAACCACTACCATGGAGACATGGAGACTATGAGTGAGGTTTTAGGTTTTAGGGTTCAGGGGGCTTAGGGTCTATGAGAAGGCACACAAAACACACACACACACACACACACACACAGACGGCACAGGTTGTCAAGGCCAAAGCCACAGCTTTGCGGAGGCCAACGCTTCTTCCGCCAAGCTCGCGAGTTCACTCTCGCCCTCCGTGGCATCCACCCACACCTCAAGGAGGTTTTAGGGTTTAGGGTTTAGGGTTTTAGGGGTTGGGATTCAGTGGTTTGGGCTCTGGGGCTTCGAGCTTAGAGTTTAGGCTGTAGGGCTAGGATTCAATTGGGGCTTGCTCTCGTTTTCACTGGGCTTCGGGTTCCGGGGTTTAGATTTCTGGGCTGTAGGTGGGGTTTAGGGTTCAGGGTTTAGGGTTTGACCCTAAACCCTGGAACCCTAAACCCTAAACCCGGATCGGCAGGGTTTAGCATTTTGACTTTTAGGAGTAAGGCGGCTGTGGGAGAGGTCTAAACATCGAAACGGCCTACCGTCGGGGCCTTAATAATTAGAAGAGGGTTTTGGGGCACATTATACTATAATTGTAACAAAGGAGCCCCCGAAAATAGTGTAGGTACTTATTCAGGCCCCCACATTACTGCAAACCCTACACCCTGAAACTCCGGTCCATGACACCCATCAAGTTCTAAGGCCCTCAACCTCTGAAAAAATCCTGCGTTTTTTTCCAGAACTCTACAACTCCGAAGCCTTGAAACCCACAGCTTCTGGGGCACCAAACTCAGCCCTGCAACCCTGATAAGAACCCATCTAGTAGATATTTTGAGCCCCAAACTATCTACCATATAAGCCCTAAACCCTAAACCCTAAACCCTCATATGAATACTTAGACCCTTTGGGTTTTGGCATTCAGACCAGCTCAAGGGCCCCTAAATCACTAAAGCTTTTCCCTAAGGGTCTTAGTACCGCATAATCATGTACTCTCCCAAATAGTAACCTGCATAACTACTATCCGAAACCTAAGTACCTGATTATGGGTCCTTTGGACCCTTGGGGTTTGGTTTCTGGAAGATGCCAAGCGCCCCAAGAGCCCGCAGCTTTTGCTATGCGGTTTGCAGGGGGATCTGAGATAGACGAATGTAGGGTTTAGTATTTGGGAGTTTCCGAAAAT